TAATCCTGGCAAACCCGTAAGGCAGAGTCATTTCAAAGACTCACTTTCTTGAAACACTAGAAGAAACCAAGCAGCTGCTAAATGTTTTGTCCAAAAGACTGAAAAGAAAGACAGACACATTTCCAAAGACAGAAGAGAGGGACAAAAGGACACCGGGGCTCTTAATTTTCTCTCTTTGTTTATGTTCATTTCAGTACACTGTTTTTTTTTTTTAATGTTTGAATGCAACTACTTAAAAACACACCAGAAGAAACAGGCACAGCCACCAGCTCCCCCAATTTGTTCTGAAATGCTTCGGCAACAAGCGCTTCTGTCAGCTCATCCTGCGCCAGATGCACTGCTGGTGCCCCACACAAATACCTCTATTTTTCTATTGGGATTTGGAGCAGAATATTTTCGTTCCTTACCCCAGTTGAGCCTAGCCAACATGACACCATTAGTTGCTAGGCAGTGTGCAGCCCTCACTTATCACACCAGACTCCAATCACTCCCTTTAAGATCAGTACTAACGTCAGTGTTAGCCACCTAAATGAAAACTCTTGCACGAAGCAAGACAATATCGCTTCCTAAGGCTATGCTAGATCTCTTTTGCATAGGAAAATTACCTGCTTGTGACAGCCTTTTGTATTAGTATTAATATTTTTCTACAGCAAAACACAGATTTCTCAATCAGGCTTCACTTTTATTGTATCATGATGATTCTTTAGGAAGGATTGGAATTACATTGTCATTCCTCATCCCTAACAACAAAATCTCCTTGACACTAACAGATAGGCTCCAGGAATGACAGATTTCTAGTGGCTTTATTAAACATGGGTTAAAATTGCTCTGGTCTCGTTCAACAACATTCCCTTCAAAAACCTAAAAGGTTAACAAATACTTAGATTTATCTACCAAGCTCATTTTCAAGTTACGTTACTACATTAAGGACAATATTAGACTACTCGATCTATTTTCCTCACAGTAGGCCAAGATCAGGCAAGTTACACGCCATCATGAAACAGGCAAGGACAAACTGAGTGAGAATCGGCCTCTCCCCTCTTCTTCCCAGGCGCCAGTCTCACTTGCAAGAGGTAATGAAGCAGCTTCAGAGGAACAGAGCACTTTAAAAAGTTTGTCCAAGAGCTGCAATATGGACTTGTATGACGTTTTGTACAAAACATGCACCACCTCAGCACTTA